TCCCTAATCTGTCTGGGAAAGGAACTTGAGATGGATTTGATGCAGACTTGGTGCAGGACAAGGAGTATCAACTGCACCCGGGAGCTACACAAGATCAGCAAGCTGTAAGCTCCAAATGGCTGCAGGTTCAGACACAAGCAAGGCCCCATCAGCTTCCAAAAGCATCCATCACTGTGGCATGAGTCCAAGGAGATGAGACAAAAGGCCATTCTGGACATTTGCCGTGGCATCCAAGCACAGAGCCCATGCTATGAAGACCCTGTGCTCTTGGTAGGGTCACGGTGCTGTCGATTTCTCAAAATACTCCTCTGGTAAAAGCACAAGCATCTTCTTCAATAGGTCTAAGAGCCTTTCCTACTTCTTTCAGGCTTTGTTGCAGCCTGATGTCTCATAGGCAGCCTTGGCAATCTGAAACATAAAGCAGGACAACTACCCTCTGCAGCGCTCTGCTGCTTCCAGGACCTTGGCATGGGGAGGAGCTGTCTGTCAGACTCCAAAATCCACACCCACCACCCTGCTCACCCTGACAGGCAGGAAAAGCACTACAAAGCTCAGGCAGATCAGCACTGAGGAAGTTATTTCTCAGGATCACTGATACCACCCCTGTGCTAAACGCAAGCCAGTAGAAAACACTATTTTCTCAAATTAGTTTTTATTTTCTTAAGTTGGTGAAGGCTACCCCCTATAGAGGGCTACAGAAGTCAACCCAAGGACAGAAATAAAAGTGGTGGAAAAGGCAGCCACAATCAGCTTCATCCCGTGTTTTGGTGTCCTTGGGAAATTGCTCTCCCAGCTGAATTACATTTTTGGTGGAGACTCCCTCAGGTTTTTGCAGGAGTAGTTTTTCTTAGTACTTTCAGATTGCATGTCCAGAAAATGGCATGGAGAGAACAGAGAGCATAGGGTCAGGTTGGAAGAAAGTGAAACAGAGAATTGTATCTATGACAGGGCCCTCCAAACCTTCAAAAATAGTTCAAGTGATAAGCCTGACCATTTCACTTTGAAGCATTGATGTTACCCTGCCTGTGGCAATGATCCACTTACCAGACTGACAATATATTGCTACTGGCAGTTACTCTGGAACTAAGGTCAATAAATACCACTTCTAAATTAAGTAGCCAGAGAATTTTCCTATTGCTTCTCCTGTATTGTATTCTTCCTTGTTCAGTAAGTCACAATGTCTCACCCATTGCCATAACTTCGCCTCACTTTTAGAAAGTACAAAGTGCAGAATAACAGAATGGCCTATGTCACTTTTTGTCTGCCTTACTTTTTTACTTTCTAAATTTCTCAATCACATTACCTCTGACTAAGATGTGATTACAACCGTGGGCTCTTTCACTAGGTAATAAACTTCATGTAACCAGCCACCCAGATCCACAGATGGTTTTCTGTCACTGTGTTTCTTCCTGAATAATTCCCCACATCACTTCCCTCATCTGGAGGCAGGTATTTTTGGTGCACCAAGTGTGCTCCTTGGTGGTTCAGGTTACATTCCAGATGTGCAAATAAGGTGACCTGGTCAAGAAGAGGCCAACAAAAAATGCCTTGCCACCCTTTGCAACATGACCCCAAACAAGCTGGCTTGTGGCACCGCAGGTCCTTTCCCTGCCTATAAATTGTCACCAATAATTTTGGCAAGTGCTAATGAGGCATCGTTACTGCAAAATACCTCCCACACATTTCCCAGTAGCAGGTCTCCCATAGCATGTGTGCCATGCCACCCCCCAGTTCCATATCCTGGGCACACAGTGCTGCTTTCAGCAGCTGTACTGCAGGGACTGCTGTCCCTCAGCTGTAGCAGCATGTTTCCCCAACACTTCTCTCTCTCTATTTTTTTTTTTTTAACATCCCTGTCGCCTCTGAATAGGCTGTAACTGGGGATTCAAGCACGCTGAAATTATGCAAATCGTCCCACCGGGTTTTTTGTAATGCTAATTATATCAAATGCATGCTCATCAATGAGAATGTCTAATTCCCCTTGCTCATTATCTAGATGTCGCACACTGATATAGAAGCATTTGAAAAAATTAATCTCATAACACAGTGTTTGTGAACCCCTTGCCACCACCTTCACAGCTCCTGCCTTTGCCCCAGGACCCCCAGGTGATAATGGGCACAAGTACACGCATCAAATTGTCCCCAAAACCACCGTCCTGTAGAGGAAGGAAGCCTTATCATGAGGCTCTGGTGTTTGATTCACAGAATTGCTTAGGTCTTGTATTTGTGACTTAAGTCAACAGGAGTGACACGATGGATATGTGCTATGTAGCACTCCAGAAAGCGGCATCCAAAGTAGTTCAGAACATACATCTTAGCTAAGTTTCCTGCCTATAAAATAGTAATAATACCTTATCAGGTAATGGGCCTCCTGAGAATGACATTAATTCAAATTTATGAAGCCATTGGATCTAGGGATGGTAAATATTCCAGAAAAGCAGGAGAAGATCAGGAGCCCTGTCTGCAGAATGGAGTTCACTTATGTGTAGCAGATTTATATCTGATGGATTTATATATAGCATAGAAAAAACAAAAAACGGGGAAAAAAGTAAAAGGCCACTTTTTTTTTTTCCTCTCTGTGACCAATGTTCTTCCTACAGGGCGAACAAAGGGACATCGAGGGGAAAACGATCTGTCATTGCATAACAAAGGACAACCCTGGCACCTATGCACAAGGAATCCACGAGGAGAAAAGTAAGTGTGGCATTTCTCCACTCAAAGCGCAGGGCTGCGACACCTTCTGTGGGGATGTGCTTCCATTTATCCAAGCGCTCCCTAAATGTGTAAGTTCAGCGTTTGCCGGGTTCTGATCAGGTAAAAACCCTCAGGAAGACCCTGAACTGCCGGAATCTGTGGGTATTGATGATTCCGAGATTGTAGAAAGTCTCTGTCTTTCTGCCCCCCTGCCAAAGCAGAAGCCATAATCTGTCTGTGCTGTTTTCAAGGTTGTTTATTCTTGCTTATCTCTAACATGTTCTGCTGCCCTGCCGCAGGTCTGTCCTGCAGGGCAGCGTGTGGGGCTCTGCCCTCAGTGGGATGTTACAAACATTATATACCAGAAACTACCTGTGCTATATTTACAATAATGTGCCAATATCTGTCATCTACGTTGAACAATGTGTCCCCAGCCTAAACCAACAGAAAAAATGCCAACACTACAGTGAAACATGGAGGGCATGAAGAAGGAGAAAAAGGACAAGACACACCCAATTTCCTCCATCTTGTCCCCTTTGAACCCCTAATCTAGAATCCTAAAATTTTACTTTTGCACCCGTGCTACACTTAATTATTACTCATATCAAACACTCAGAGCTTGTAATTCATCCTGTAAGATTGAAAACTCTTTTCCATGGACAGAGATCAGAGACAGTGTCTCTGGGGGCTCTGTCCAGGGGGGTTCCTGACCCCCTGCCAGGGTCCCAGGCCCTCCAGGGCAGCCAGAGGGAAACCCTGGATTCCCACAGTGAACTGTGCCACGGGCTAGATCACTTCCAGATGCTTTTTGTCATTCTCCTTTTAACGCCTTACGGGGATGTTACTATCGTGACAACAACATGAACTCCTTTTCTCCCCTTACTCCCAGAACAGAAGCACTCACACATTTAGTTACCTCAGTTTTACAGCTTCTTGCCTTTATTAACATTTTTTTTTTCTTTTTTTACAAATTGCTTTTCTTCCAAAAGCTGAGAGGAGCTGCTTTGCCCCGGTGAATCTCGGCGGGGGCCGGTGCTGAGGTCCGTCCCGGGGGCCCGTGTGCCCGCAGCCCCTCCGGGGGTCCCGGCCCGAGGCGCCGCCGGGTGCCGCTGTTGGCCGCGGAGAGCGCGGGGCGGGCGGGGAGCGGGGCGGGAGCGGAGCCGCCTCCGGCCGGCTCGGCACCGCCTCCCTTCCCCCTCCCCCCCCTCCCTTTTTAAAAATTTTTTAAAAGATTTTTATTTCTTCCCCCCCCCCCTCCCCCTTGTGTTAGAAAACCTCTTTTATCATCACCTCGAGGTGAAAAGTTTCATTCTCTCTCACCACCCCTTGCCCTCCCTGGGAGAAAAGTTCTTCCTTGTTCCTTGGTATTTCGGGGGCTCAAGTAGAGGAGGGTTGACTGCGGGTGTTTCAGGGGACAGCGTATGCAGTGCAGGGAGGTTTTACAGCTCGCATGAGAGCCTTGTCACTATCACTGCCCGAAGGAGGTAAAAGCAGTGACAGCTATGCTTGACTTTAGTATTTGCAGACTCCCAGATAACCTCAAACAAAATCACCAGCACAGCAGGTTCTCCAGTGATATGACATTATTTCTTATTTACTAGGGAGTCCACTGTCTCGCTTCTCAAGACGCTGTGCAAACCAACCAAACAAAATACCAATCCATGCCTAAAGATCTCTCCGAGTGTAAGAGCAGAGACAGTGGAAATGTGGGAAACAATAAGCCGGTTTTGGTCAGTAAGATGTGCAGCAGCATCAGCGCAGCGGCAGCCTGGCCTCTGCCGAGAGGCTGTTAGCACTGCAGAACACACGCGTTTTCAATAAAGGCTTCAAAAGCAGCACACAAAATGTGGAGCTTTTGCTGCACTCAGCCACAGGATCAAGGACTCTGCAGCTGAAAGGCAAGCAGGGTATGCAAAGTGTACAACTCCGGGAGGGAAAGATAATGAAAAAATGCCTGGGATGACAGATCAGCATCTAAAACACAAGGTCAGGGAACCATACAATTATTTAGGTTGGAAGGACCTCTGGAGGACATCCGTTTCAACTCCCAGCAATAGGAGGGAAGTGGAAGGCAGGGGGTACCTCCCAAGCTCAAAGCAGGCACAGCTGAAGTTGTTCAGGGCATTTGTAATACAAAATACGTGTTTTGTTGTAGGGATACATCTAGTGGTGGGAGGCACACAGCCAGTACACAGTGGAAGGAATAAAAACAGTAATAAAAGGAAATTGAAGATAAGGTTTGGCTTGTTCTGGGACTTCTGAAACATCTTTTCAAGCTGACTCACAGAACTCAGAGTATCAGGGAGTTTCTAGAAAGTATAAAATACATTTTAATATTAATAGTCATGATTAATAGTCATAACAATACTTTCATATATCATCCAAGTAGGGAACCATTTCCAGAAGCATAGGACATATCCATTCTGGAAGTCAAAGGAGTTGAAATCCTAATGTATTTGTACATTTTTGCAGATACTGTCTGATCCATACAGAATAAGTGTTCTGTGTGCCTTTGCCATCTCTCTGACCTTTCACTTGTTTAGTCTTTCTTGATCAGGAGACATTTGTTTAATGTTCACATCTGCAAATGACATGAAGTACAGGGAAGTAGTGAATGACACCTTTTACCTCTGACATACTTAACAAGAATACTAATTCAAGAATTATCACAGTAGGATGTAGAGGATCACCTATACAGGTTGAAAAGACTTTGCTAAGCTTATATTCCCATTTAACTTTCCCTTCTTGAATACCATTGCTTCCCGTAGCTCCTGTTGTTCTAAACACAAGCATTCAAGTGGTTCCGTTTTGTATTGTTGGACACCATCATACCCTAGAACTTTCAGATTTGTTTGCCTGCTTTTTTTTTATACACTGATTAAAAAGAAGCCATAAAGCAAGATAAGGGTGAATGACTCATTTCAGCAAAAGACAGCACATACATGTGCTATTCCTTATCATTATGTGATGGAATAAAAAATTCCTGAAGCTTACAAAGCAAAAATGCAGAAGCAGAGACTTCGCTCACAATTCTCTCTGTTAAACATGAAAAATATCCCAAATTCCCTCTGGAATCCAAAGCTATTACATTTGACTAGAATCCTCAAAACCAAAACAAAACTAATGCAAGCTGAAAAAGATTGAATACCCAAAGGACAAAATACAACAGCCCACACTGGGCCCACAACTATCTATATGTAACAGTAAAGCAAAGCCTTCAGAAACCCAAAGTCAGGAACTCTTCTGCTGCGTGTAATATGACCAGCAGCCCTCATTGTTAAACTAGTTGATGAGATTCATTAAGAGATCATCTTTGCAGTTATTTATAATTTAGTCAAAATATTTGAGCTAAAATTTCCTCTGCTGGAGGTGGAATATTTATTAAATGTTCCAGGTAAAAATGGTTCCAGTATTTTCAGGAGTGAAGCTACAAGAAAAGATCATGTTTTCTGATGTGCTTTTTGAGAAGTTGTGTGCTGTGGAGGCTACTGTAACTTCAGCAGAGGAGCAGCCTCTTCCAAAGGAGTGGCATCTCCAGCTGACATTTCATTCATACTTGGCAAACTTGCCAAGAGAAGACAGAGCCAGACTCTGCTCTTTGTGGCCCTGAGAAAGCACAACAGCCATGACATGCAACAATCCTGGTGAGCATTAAGAAAAGCCTCTCCCCAGGGCATGTTTCAGCACTGGTGTGGGTACCTCAGGAAGCTGGGGAATCGCCATCCTTGGAGGTGCTCAGAAGACACCTGGACAAGGCTCTGAGAAACCTAAACTGCCTTGGGGTCCCATGTACATCCTCTCTGCTCCTGCCTTTGGCTGTACAAGCCTGGGGACGGGTCAGAGGCAGTGGAGCTGAGGGCAGCCTCTTGCCTCCGATGACTTCAGGGAGAGTTTCTAGAAAGCTCTGCTGGAGTCTCAGCCAGGACTGACCCCCTGCCCCAGGAGATGCTTTTAGCCTGGTGCACTTGCCCTTGGCTCCTGTCTGAGGAGTCTGGCCTGTGCCTGACCATGCAATCCGTGGATCTAGACCCGTGACAAGGCTTCCTGGCTTGACCCAAGACCTGCCTTGTCATGATGGACTTGTCAGGCAATCTCTGGACTGTGGCTCACCTTGGTTCCTGCCTCCAGACTTGATCCTGATGCTGACTTGACTTCTTAGTTTGCCCTTGGACCTGCCTCATCACCACAAGCTTGTGTGATGATCTGGATTCTCAGCTGAACCCAGCTGTCTGCCTATACCTGCCTTTGTCCCCTTGCTCAGATGCTTTCCCTCGCTGGCTAAGCCTCTTCCTCTGCCTGCCTTGTTACGTGCCTGGATCTCAGCTCTTATATTCCTTTAGGGAGCTGCCAGCCCTTACTGCTCCCAGCAGCCTGCTGTGAGCAGGCAGTCTCAGTAGAGACCTCCAGAGACCACTTCCCACCCAAATCTTTCAGTGAACTTATAACAGCACTCTAGACAAGTTAAAAGGAAAGAAAAAAGTAACTAACTTCTTTGGGCAGGGAAGAAAATGTAACTGCAAAGGCATTGCTTTGATGCTTAGGTGCATGGTGCGTTAGACTAGGGAAAGGAGAAAGGGCCAGAGGGACAGGGACAAAGAAAGGGGTCTAGAAAGGATTAAGGTGGTAGAAGGTTTCAAAATGGACAGCAGTGCATCTACTGTAATATCACTCCATTATCCCATAAATCCAGGACAAAAGGGTAGTGGAAGAGATGCACACAGCTCTGTTTCCTCCCCAGCTGCACTATGTCACAAAGGATTCATGGCAGCTCTGAGTTTTTAAAATAGGAAAGTCTACTGCCCTACAAGCCCTCTTCAACCTCTCTCCCTGCATCTCTTGGGCACCATTAAATGTTCTTCAGCTGCAAATGGATTTCAAGGCTGCTCTGCTGGTGATGCAAAGGCTGAGCAAGGGGACAGAGCTGGCTCACACAGGGCGTATGTCTCACAGGCAGGCGGTGACACAAGGATGTCTCTGTGGAGCGGCTCATCATCTTCTACAGGTCTTCTTGAAGACCTGCTTCTGCAGTAATCTCTCATAAAAGAGAGGGTCTTCAAGGGAGATGGCAAAAATGGATGTAAAACGTGGTATCTCCTAACACCAACCTGTGATGTATTACAGTACATTTATTCCCACAGCAGCCATGAAGTAGGAACTTGAAACCAGATTTACTGCTTATTGAGAAGTCTAAAAACTATAAACCCTAGCACTCTGGACTACATTTCTTGTCACTTTCCCTGACCTTTCCTTTAACATTAAGAAAAACAAAATCAAACCACTGTAATGGGTCCATTCCAGAATAGCCTGAGACCTGCTGGAAGCCAGAGAGGCTGTTTTGCAGTGCAGTTGGAAAGGCAACCCTTGGCCATCAGCAGGAGTGAAAAACTGGGGCTTCTGGCACTGCTTGTGTAGAGGTGGATCTCGCTTCTGGGGAGATTTATAGGGCTTTCACATATAGCGCAGTCTGAAAAAGCATGTACAAACAGTGCAAGCAAATACATTTCACTGCAGCCTCATTCTGTGACATCATTCCTTTTCAACAGTGAAAATCACTCAGACCCGAAATCAATCATCCTATACAGGGGCCAGCAACAAGAGAGTGCAAAGCACTAACATCAGCATGAGCTTCTGACACAATGACAATATTGGTATTCTCTTTTTTTTCAGGAGCCATTGGGAATGCAGTTTTTAAAAGTATGTTAGTGTTTCCCAAGCCATTTTGCTTTTGGTAAATGGATAGCCATAGGCCATGTGTGTGTGTTTACAGCTGCACATTTGAAATACCTCCTGAAGATTGTTTTGCTAAGGTCTGTGATTTTCTATACAATTAGGAACCTATTTTCAGCAGGATTACTGAAAACTCAGCTATTCTCCTTGACCTCAACAAAGCTTGCTAAATGCTTCAGTTCTTTTTTAAAATTAAGATACTCATTTAGGTGTCCTGTGCTGGACCTATGACTCAAATTGAAACATCTGGTCAAAGGTTTTCCTCAGCCACTGCTAGTAAATTCACTTTGTCAGCACTGAGTACTCTATCTGTGTTCAGTTGATCCTCAGAACTGCCTCAGGCTACAGTGCAGCCAGGAGCTACTCAGTTAGGATGGACTTGCTACAGGAATTCATGCTGGCCACACCTAGACACACTAAGCTTCTTTCAAATCCTTGTTCCCTACTATGTTTCCTGTACCAAAAGAGTCAGGTATGACCATGTCACGAAGACACCTCTGTTTATTCAAAACAACCTTTCGTCCTTCAGCTTTGCATCACCACATTCACCCACGGACAGTCTGCTGTGCTCCCTCAAACAGTTTGCTGTAGTTACTGCATGTGTGACTCTGCAATGGTATGGCTTTCCCACGCTTAAATTTCCGAGTCCTCAATAGGGCCATTCAGGAATACTGCAGTAGGAAGTGACGGTGAGAATTCATTGGGACGGATAAAGTTTTCAGATGGGAACAGTTTCACTTTAGACACGGCGTGGCCTCGGGTTGACTTACTGTCCACAATCTGATGCTTGAGCGTTCCTATCTCGGAGTCCCAGGCTTGTCCCCGCCGCAATTTCTTGAAGGTGTTACGGAAACCCTCAGTGCTAAAGTAGTAGATCAAGGGGTCCAGCATGCAGTTCATGCTGGCCAACATCATCGTTATAATTAACGCTTGGCGCACGGAGGCCTGGGTTTGTTCCTCAACCTTCATCACCCGGGCCTTTATCATCCCATAAACCGCCAGGGTAGTGTTGTAGGGCACAAAGCAGATGATGAAGATGACCAGATTGACCAAGAGGAGACGGATGGTCTTCTGCTGTCGCAGGGTCTTTGTCTGGCTGGGCTGGCAGAGCTCCTGAAAGATCCGAATTGAGCAGTATGTCACAGAGCTGAGAGGCAAGAGAAACCCCAAGATTTCAGCCAGGATTACCAGGGGGAAGAGGTTATTCTGCCATATGTTGTCACTAAAGCTTTCAAAGCATAGATAAATGGTCTGGTTTTCTACTTTACAGTGGTTTTGCTTGTGGACTATGGCTGTGGGGATGGAGCCCATGAAGATCACAACCCAGACGACGAAGCAGAGGTACTTGGCCACCTTGGGGCGCCGCAGATGCCGCCAGCGAAGTGGGTGAACAATGGCAATGTAGCGATCTAGGTTGACGCACATGAGGAAGAGGCAGCTACCATACATGTTGATCTGGAAGACTGAGCCAGAGACCTGGCAGAGGAAGCTACCAAAGGGCCAGTGGTGGTTGGAATAGTAGTAGAGTCGCAGGGGCAGAGAAAGTGTGAAGCTGAGGTCACTTATGGCCAGGTTCAACATGTAGATCATCACTACAGACTTCAGGCGCAGGTATCGGAGAAATATCCACAGGGCTACCACATTGAGTAACAAACCTGTGATGAATATCACGGTGTAGCCAGGCATGAGGAGGTGGTGGTTGAAGGTGTAATCCTTGCATGTCTGGGACGTGTTGGAAGTATTGGATGCTGACATGCCCAGCATGGATCAGGGAATGCTTTTGCTGAGATGGCTGAGCCTGTTGATGGGCTAAGGAGGCACAAAGAAGAGCACTGAGAGAAGTCGTTCCCCTCTGAGGAGCCACGGGCAGGTCATTCCTGTCATCTGCAGCTGGGAGGTAGATGGGTAATGTCTCTCTTGGCTGGCACTGCTTTGGATTGCTGATCTGTGGTCATCTGGCACAGATGGTAATGTGAAGTCTGCTTCTGCCCCTAGTTCAGCAATTCTTTCCAGTGGTTATGAGGTGACAAGGTGATGGAAGATCATTGCCAGCTGTCAGTACAATTCCTGGTCAGAGTGGAAGACCAAAACAAAAGAGTTTAATTTAGAGGAGGAAATCTCTTGATATGTTAAAATCTCACCGTGGTGGCTTCTGCAGCAAGAACTCACAAAGAAACCAAAAGATGAGGGAAAATGGACATGAGAAAAGTGAGTAATTACATGGCAGAAGAAGACAGAGCATAGAGAAGGTGGTTGTTGTACAGAATCATTTATCACTCAGCCCAGAGAACGCACTTTGCTTTGACCACTGCTGAGAGCACATGAATACAAGACAGGGACACCACAAGCACACAGGGAACGTAGTTGAGGCAGCTCCAGAGAAAGAGAAAGAAAAAGAGGAAGCAGTGTTTTGAAGGAAAAATGTTGACTGGAAGGAACTTAAAATAAAAATGGCACAGTACTGTTTTATATCAGAGAAAAAGGACTTTGTACATCCATTTCAGATAAAAAAATTATAGTACAGTTAGACCCGACTCCACCCAAGCTCCTTTACTTACGTAAAACAACACTCACAGACCTCAGTTCCAGTGACTTTGAGTTCCTTATGTTTCTTACATTCATACAGTTCCTTTGGTGTCCTTACTTGCATGGGACCAGTGGTGCTTATTTGGATTGTATGTCCTCATTCTGCTGCTTGAAGCAGCCCATGTCCCAGAAACACGGAGCAGTGCAGCCATGGAGGGGAGCACAATAAAAAAGGAAGTGCCGTGGGATTCATGTGGACAAACATGAGTTCGAAGCAGTGTGAGGCTAGTAACCACTCTAGGTAATAACTAGCAGCACTGTCCAAACACTGATCAGCTGGAGTGAGCCCAGTGGAAGGCCACCAAAATGGTCTGGGGGCTGGAGCAATTGCACCATGAGGAGTTGCTGAGGGAACTGCTCTCATTTAGCTGGACAAGAGAAGGCTCCAGGTGATATAATAGTGGCACTGGGGTTTGCATGGCTAGGTTTTGGCAGCTGGGAGGGCTATAGGTGTGGTTCTGTGAGAATGTGCCAGGAATTTCCTCTGTGTCTGATACAGCCAATGCCAGGAGGGACCTGCCACTGGGCAAGGCTGAGCCAATCAGTGATGGTGGTAGCACCTCTGGGATAATGAAAGGAAAAGGTTACTGTGAGACAGCAATTAAAAAAAGTTAATTGTGAGGCAGAGAAGGGAAGTGAGAATATGTGACAGAAACAGCCCTGCTGCAGGCACCAAGGTCAGTGAAGAAGGAGGGGAATGAGGTGCTCCAGGCACTGGAGCCAAGATTCCTCCATTGCCCCTGGAGAAGGCCATGGTGAACCCATGTTGGAGCACTCTGTTCCTGGAGGACTGCACTCTGTGGAAGGGACTCACACTGGAGCAGGGGTTGGGTTAAACAGTTCCCCACAGTTGTTTGCAGGGGTCAAACAGGGATTCCCTCATAAGAGTCCATGCAGATTGTGTTTTTCTTCAGAAGGAAAGTAGAATTTTCTGTCTAGAGAATATCTTTATGAGGTTGATATTACTCAGCAACTTGACAGGCATGTCAAGCCTTCTGGATGGCATTATGTGGCAATGCACAGATCCAGAGAGAATCTGCTGCAGACAGAAGTGTGTGCTGACCTCATAGAGAGGAAAAGAATCACTCTGGTAACAATATGTTAAACAATGGGAGTGGAAACCTAATACAAGAGTGTAGACAGCTACCAATTTGTCCATCCTTTTGTGTTGTTGTGCAGGTCCACCACCAAAATAGGTTTCTTAGGGAAACTTCTACTGGTTTATCAAACCATATCTGAGTGGATTCTACCCTTCCTGGTGGCTGAATACTTTGCATGAATTCTTGTGCAAGTTTGGAGTATAAGCTGACAAGGCAAAAGTGCAAGAATGTTGTTGGTTTCAAGTGAAATGTTTCATGCTTCAAAAAATCTCAAGGAGGAGCATCACCAATGGTCAAAGGAGGTGATTGTCCTGCTCTGCTTTGCAGTGGTGCAGCCTCAGCTTGTATCCTGTGTGCAGTTTTGGGCAATATAAAAAAGCCATTGAGCTCTTAGAGAATGTGCAGAGGGCCATGGGGATGGTGAAGGACCTTGAGGGGAAACCGCATGAGGAGCAGCTGAGGTCACTTGGTCTGTTCTGCTTGGAGGAGACTGAGGGAGACCTCATTGTGGTCTACAACTTCCTCGAGAAGGGAAGAGGAGGGGCAGGCATTGATCTCTTCTTTGTGGTGGCCCATGACAGGATACAAGGGAATGGCCTGAAGTTGTGTCAGGGGAGATTTGGGTTTGATATTAGAAGAAAGATCTTCACCCAGAGGGTGGCTGGGCATTGTAACAGACTCCCCAGGGCAATGGTCACAGCACCAACCCTGACAGAGTTCAAGAAGTGTTTGGATAATGCTCTCAGGCACAGGGTATGATTCTTGGGATGTCCTGTGCAGGGCCAGGAGTTGGACTTGATGATCCTTGATGATCCTGATGGTTTCCTTCCAACTCAGTGTATTCTGTGATTCTATTATTGCAGGAGAATATGTCAGCTTTTGCTAGAGCCAAAACCCTGAAATGAATTGCAGACTGGTCAGACCTTTATCTTGATGGAAACAAAGTTATTGAGGCTGTGACTTAGTGAGTGACCATGACCTGCTGTAACACATGTACTCAGACCAGACAGATGTCAGGTGAAAAGGACTTATCTCTAAAGACAATGTGTTTTCTCAAGCTTTCCTGAGGTATTCAATTAACAGATCTAGAGATTATAATATGTAAACACAGTCCATGTTGTGTCAGGCTTTCTACCACTAATATTCCATCTCAAATTGTGGATGGTGAAGGGATTATGTTAAGAAGAGTACAATCACATAGTTATACTGCCTCAAGTTGTCTTCCTGCACAAATTGTAGCCCAGGAATTTCTTGAGGCATAGGTGACCTAGTTGTTCTCAGTAGTCCTCAGGGAACTTCTATTTCATTGTGGTTTTTTCAGTCATTTTTTGAGTTGATGTAAAATTTAACATCTACATTATCCAGTGCCAGGAGTACCAAGGAGTTCCACAGCTTACTTGTGCCTCAGGTGAAGAATCACTTCCATATACCCATCTCTGATTCATCATCTGCTAGATTCAGTTCTTAACTCTAGAGCTGGGACAGGGCAAAAACCATCCCTATCCACCTTCATTTTGTTCCTGATAATATTATAAACATCTACCATATTCCCACTCAGCAAGGTTGGTTTTTTTTTTTTTTTGGCTACAGGGTCCTTGTCTTCATAGTTTTTCCTTATAGACAAGCTGTTCTATACTATTGAATATCCTTGTTGCCCTTCTCAGCACTTTTCCACTTCTGCTACAGCTTTTGTGAGCCCTGTGCTGGGGTGCTGAAAGCACTCAGTGCTGATAATGTGGATGCACTGAGCTGCGTAGGTGTAGATCTCATTTGCAAGTGGTAATGGCCAGTTCAGTTTGCTTTTTCCCATCACTTCACTAGATAAAATTTCAGCTGTTGGTTTAAGTTCAGTCACTCACACTTCTCTTAAGCTCTGCAGCTCTTCGCAGCCAAACCTCATCTTTTTAAACTTGAATAATTTTATGTCTCCAACAGATTTGTTATTTTATTATTCATCCCTCATGAATAAGTCAAACAGTCCAAGCTCCAGCACAGGTATCTGACAACTCCACTGAGAAAAACAACCATTTACCTTCGCTCTCTGTCCCTTCTTTTACACACTTTTAATCCAGTTAGGAACACTTTCTTTAAATTTTTTTAAGTGCCATTGGTGAGACCGCTTTTGAAAGCCTTCTGGAAATCCACATGGGCCACTGTTCACATGTTTGTTGAGCCCTTTAAGGATGAACTGTGGGAACAGCGTCTCTTTATAAAAGCCATGATGACTTTTTCCCAGCAATTAGATGTGATTGCATGCCAATTGATTTTTTCTTTATTATAGCTTCTACAAATTTGTTCAGCAAAACCATCAAGCTCTCTGGTCTGAAACCCCCCAAGAGCCTTTTCTTAAATTGAGTCTGCCTTTAAGAGCTGTTTTAAGCAAAGGTTTCTATTGGAACAATTAGTCAGGTCTTCCACCCTTCAGTTAGTTTCGGACCTCTGGGGTAAGAGCTTGTATGGTTTTAGTTCATCTTGCTGCTCTGTGGTTGATCCTACTACTATTCTGACCAGAGACAGTCCTTTTGTGAGCTTCCCATAAAGAAAGTTTCTGCTGTGGAAATCTCCCAAGCTTTCATGACATGAATACCAATGAAAGAAACCTCTTCATTTTTTTTTGCCCACCATCCAGTTTTCCTTCTTTTCTGAGAGGTCTTTCCTAACACACTCTATCCTTTCAGCCTTCAAGACACTGAACAGCACAATTCTGAACTAGCAGCAAAGATCCCCGAGAGCAGAAAATAGATTGGGGTTTTGAGGGGATTTTTTTCGTGGGTAGATGGAAACATAGAAGAATGAGTCTGCTATGATGATGGTATGGAAGCCAAGCTGATAGTCTCAGACTTGCCATAACAGATACAGCGACCAAGACACAAGAGAAACGAGATGTATGCAGACACAGTCATTACAAAGATAAAGCTGTGGGTGTGGAGAGTTTCTCCAGCAAGCTTTGGAGGTCCTGCTTTGACTGTCCCTCTCTAAAAAGGAAAGCTATGGGTAGGTAAAGCAGGCTGGCAGCAGGGAGACTGATTATCCTTGCTGGTTAATGTCTGAGAGTCAAAAGGCATGTTCCTTGTGGCTGCCTCTAAAAGAGCCCCAAGAACTCATTGCTCTGCACAAAAGCTGCCAAGACATCTCAAGCCACCAGCTGTTTAAGGAGGCAGTGGTACCACAACAGGATGCCCTCTTTAAATCCTGAAGAAACTTGGTGACTGACTTATGTATCCCAGGGGGGTGGAGGAAACATTTTATTTCCTTTTCATTTTGAGCCCCTGAATAACATCAACTGCCAAGATTGTGACTTGCAAAATCCATGGGATTTTGAGTTTTTTCTTTCGGGGGGTGAGAAGCCCTAAATGTACTTGCATACAGGCAGGCATGCCCTGAGAGGGGATGTGTGCCTGGCATCTTGCTGTCTGGTCCTGGGAATCCTCTCTCTCCTGTCTCACTGTCTTACTAGGAGTCACGGCCTCCAAGTGCTACAAAAATGATGAAGAATCAGGGTATAGGGCTGAGATATGCAATGGAAAAAGAGAGCTGGAAAAATACTCATGAGGATGCTGCAGGGTCAGTGTTTCTGTTAGTGGCTTGTCACTAAAACCATGGAGGGTTCTGAGGCTCCTGTGAGAATGCAGAGAGCAAATGCAATGGGGTGCAGAACTTAAAACACAAACTGCATGAGCTCGCTTACTTATTCTGAAAGCAAAGAGGAAACAACAAAAATATGTCGAACCTCAGAAAACATACCCGACTTTAGAAACTGATATATATTTTTTAAATAAATGTGGGTGCTTTTTACCTGCTGTTGGTGATATTCAAGCCCCACTTGTCAACTTTTTTCTACTAAAAAATAGATTTTTGTGGTGATTAGAACCTTGAAGACATTCAAGTCTTAGTATGGCTTATTTTTAAAGAGAGACACACGATACAAAGGCTGAGATCTCCGTATTTAACTCACGAGGTTTGATCACACTGCTATTGCCTCCTCCTTAGAGATGCTACCCCTCTTCATCTCCTGAGGGTTCCATGGAAGAGGGGTCCCATGGCGGGCACCTTGGCAAGTAAGCTCTGCAGCCTGCCCCTGCTTTTAGTATCACAGGATCCCAAAGAAAGCCCCAGTTTGAATAAATACAGAGATGTGCCTTGCACCTCTAGGTCCACGGGGAAATGACGAGGGGCAGATGTGCCCTGGTGCCCGTGGCCAGGCTTGGCAGCACACGCACAGCAGCTCATGGAGACCGGTGCCCAAGGTGCCAGACCATCCGGCTCTCCAGATGTTCCCGCCTGCCTTACCTCACTGCTGGAGAAGAGCCAAGTGTGGATGCCAGCTGCCTTGCTGCTTGGTGACTGCTTCCACTGCAGAGGTCTCGATCCGGGCCCCAAACCCTCCAAGCAGCTTGGATCAAAACAGAACCGGGCAGCCTCTTCATCCAAATCACAGCTGTCCCCTACCACGCTGTGGCTGGTTCTACATCTGGCATGCCGAAGTTTGTCTCTTCTCCTTTCTCACTTCCTGATGCACTTCTGCCTGGCTACAAAGCATGAACTTTGTTATCAAGGGCTGATAAGCTAAACCACATCCTACAACAGCAAATGCAATCATGAACGAAGCAGTACCCAGGTGTCCTTGCAACTGAGGAGACCTGCCCTGGGTCATAGTGCCAAATATTTGCTTGTCTTGCTAACTTAGCCACCCCCAGTACTGACAGAGGGGAAATAAAACATCCCTCTTCCCAAAATATTGCTAAACAGGAGGTAGAAGTGAAATATGGGAAGTGAGAGCCAAGTTATTTTAATTGCTACCCTGCACAAAGACTTGGAGTCCTGTCACTCCCATGGGCTAGGGGGCTCTGGGATTGAGCTCCAGCTCAGGGGCCCAGCTGTGCACCACTGGTATGTGCCAGGATCCCAAAATGAACCGGGCTCCGGAGAGGTGTCATTGTCTGTGGCAAGCAAAGGCATGTTTGCCACGAACCCCAGTCCCTTGTGTTCAAGGCTACGGGAGGCACAGTGCGATGCAAGTACAAGGGCTGATTTACCAGCACATCTGTGACCTGGCACTGCCACGTGTAGCTGGGAAGGGAGCTGACCTTGTGCAGAACCCATCTGGCACTCTGTTGCTTCAAGTCCTATTTCTGCTTTACCAGCCTCAGCACACCTGGAAGAAGACACGAGTCGTGGTGACACTCCTAATCCCACTGTTGTCCTGCCCCAAGAACAGCTGCCCTGGGAAGTTGCTGTGGGCTGTCTTTCTCTGCATTCCTTGCCTGCTGTTGTTTGATTTTCTCACTCCCTGCCTCCCTTGTTCTGCTGTTACTGACTCCTCATTCAGGGAATGACACACCAAGGGATATCTATGTTCCTGCTGCTCATAAATTCTTGGAGGGCACAATAGCACTGAGCTCACCCTGCTTCTTTTCAGAGCCTCTCTTTTTTTAACCCAGACCCCTTTTCTCACTTGCTGGTTGCTGGGATCTTTGTTCTCATGGCTTTTTGTGTCTTTTCAGTTCAAGGTGTTGCTACTGATAAAAGCTTGCAGATATGCCACGGGGGGTGTCCTTTGCCTAAGGAGCGTCTGACACATTCTGTGGGAACTCCCCCCTCCCCTGCAGCCCTCACCCCTCACACACATGAGCACACACCTGGCTGAGCCCGGCAGTCCTGGCTTTTCCATGTGTGAGAAGACAAGGACACAGTGGCACCCCGCCCAGCCCAAAAGCCCCACGGCATCCTCACCTGGCCAAGTTCACTCACCTCCCCGGATCTCGGTGCCTCAGCTCACAAAGTCTGTGTCCCCTCACCCGGGTGGGCTCACACATCTGCCCCTCGCTGTCTCTTGGAGGCTCAGCTGGTGGGGAAGAGCAGCTCAACCCCCGGCATTTCTTCACCGCTGTCTGAGCGAGCAGCAGGTAAGACCAGATTACTGGGGTGTGTGTTGGAGGCTACACCCTGATGCTGCAAATCCCAACATGCCTGCCACCCCGCAGTGCTGGCTCCAGAAAGTAGGAGCAAGGACCCAGCAGGAGGAAGGATGCAGGGAGCTGGGAAGGCAAGGAAAGAGGTGAAATGCACGCTACAAGAGAGAGGCTGCTCAGGTCTGAAAGGATGTCTGATAAACCACAGCGCTCTTCAGAATTCTTTGTGCAGCAAAATGTGGGAGAGCAGGGCAAAGGGGTGAATCCCTTTATGGAAGAAGCACAGCAGGGCCACAACAGCCCTGCTTCACTTTCTGAATGATTCAGACAGGAAAAGCAGAAACCTGTGGCTGCAGAGGAGTTTTACCTTCCGAGGTAGTGGGAACAGCTGGCACTTCCCAGGTTGGCTGGGGGAATGGCAGTTTTTGTCCCAGGACATTTCAGCTCCCTGGTCACACAGCTCGCATTTTCCTGGGCTTCCAGGGGCACTTAGGAAAGGGGCACCCAATTAGAACGGGGGCAGCCACCCTGTTGTGCCTCCTAGGAGAAGGGCAAGGGCAGATCTTGGGAAAGGACAGACCATGAGGAAGAAAATGAGGGAGGTGAAGGGAGACCTGCCAGGGAAAGAGTTAAGACAGGCAGGGAGCAGCTGGGCTGTGTCTGTTTGCTGTAGCTGTGTGGGCTGCAGGGTAGAAAAGAACGGTCTCCAGCCTGGAGGAGGCAGATGAGGGAGTGTCTTCAAGAACAGTGGATGTGGATGAGGAGGCAGCAGGTCTTCCCCTCTCTGCTCCCATAAGCAGTCACTGCAGGGAAACTCTCTGTCTCCCCAAAAGGTTTGGTGACAGAGGTGACAAACTGGTGGGTCTGGCAACAGCTGCTTGGTGCTTCTGGTTCTTCTCATGCAGAAGGCTCTGTCTGCTGCTGAGCAGGTCTTGGGCTGCCTCCTGCTGAAGAAGTGACTGGACTGTGGAGGAAGACAACCACATCATCTCCTGACAGGATGGCACAGGCCACAGGTGTGGCAGAGACGCTGTCCCCATCCATGTGAGCTCCCTGTGATGGATGCCCACCCCAGAGCCCTAGCTTAGAGCTCTCCCACCATGTGCCCAAGCTGGAGCACTGGTGTGTATGGCCTCACAGGGCCAACCCAGCGGGGTTCTGCAGGCTATAGGGTCTCCGATGCTGGCAGGCACACCTGGACAGCCCAAGGTCACTGCCCAGGGCTGGGGCTACCCCTGCTTTGCAGTGCTGGGCTGGAGCTGCTGTGAAAGCCACTATTGGGCAGAGGCTGTGGAAAGCACAGGAAACTCTATGGCTTTCAGGCAGCAGCATTGCTGGAGTTGAAGGTGGTGAAGTTTTGGCACGGACAGGATGGAGCTGGTGTGGCTGTACCTGATGCTGATCCACGTGCAGCACGTCGCTGCCATGACCTGGCTGTAAGTATGCTTTGTGCTTGTATTGTCTGGGTTGGAAAGCCACCTAGGGAGGTGCTATCTCTAAAGAAAATAGGGTGAAAACAGGGTAGAAGAAGGAATCTGGGCAACCAAAAAGCAGAAGGGACATCTCTGAGAGCATGGAGGGAGAGGGATAGTAAGGCTGAAGGGGTACAGACTAGAATGGGTAGCAAGAATGTCCAATTCACAGACAACATGCCCACAGCCCCCTTCCCTGCCCCATTTCTGCTGCAAGATATGGCTAGAGAGGGTTAGTCCTGCAGAGGTAAGGCCCTAGCTCCAGCCCATCTGCAACTGAACCTCTCCCCTGCCCCACAGGTCCCTGGCCAAGCAGACTTCCCTGCAGACAGTCCTGTGGGACCCCAGGGGCTGTGATGGCCTGATGGGGCTGGAAGAAGAGCAGATCCCTATTTGCCAGCAGCAGGTGGAAGCCATGGAGGCGAGGGACAGAGCTGGTTGTCCTCGAGTGCCAGCACCAGTTTCACTCTTGCCACTGGAACTGCTCCACCCTGCAGGGGCTGCAGGTCTTCGCCAAGGCCACCATCCAAGGTCAGCAAGGGCAGGCTTGGCATGGTGTCCCTCCATGATGCCCACTGTCCCCTTGACACATGAGCCTTTCCTGGGCTAGTGTGCAGGGGCTGCACTGGTCCCGTCCCCAGAGAGGCCAGCGCCTTCTTCCACACATTGACAGAACTTCAGAGCAAACTGAACCAAATGCTCTCACACACATTAGCATTCTGGAGAAACTTCTTCCCTATGGCCAGATTTGGCTTTTTGGTCCCATTGGACCATCCTGGGTACCAGCTCTGCGGACTGTTACATTTCTCCCTGACCCTGCTGCCCTCCTGCCACAGAGCCATGGCACTTACTGACTCCCAGCTTGGGGAGCAGCTGCACTGGCTGGACATCCTGACATGTATTTCTCCTGAGGAGTCTCCATCTGAAGGCATCCTTCCTGCATGCAGTGACAGCCGCTTTTCCCACACTGTGCCGCATAAGTGCCTTTGCCCTCCGCAGACTGGTGCCATTTCTTGTCCCGCTGCAGGCACACGGAGCCTGCTGTCACCCACGCCATCCCGGCGCCGGCTCCGCTCTTGCTGCGAGCCGTGCCTGCAGCTGGGGAGGGCTGCACAAGTGCGGCTGCCACCGCGAGGGCCGGGCAGCCACCCCTCAAGGTGAAGGAAGAAGCGGTGGCAGGGAGCAGGTGGCTGAGGGGAAGGTCCATGGGGGAGACAGACCAGAAAAGGAGATGCTGTTTCATTCTCCACGGGTCTTTGGGAGATCCTCTCAGGGCTTCTCTGTCCTTGTCACAAGGCTGCTTTCCCTCTGCAGGTTTCCAGCGGTCAGGCTGCTCTGGTAACATGTCCTACAGGATCGCCATTCTCTCAGGCCTCTCAGGCCTTCGTGGACAGCCCCGAGAGGAGCCGCAGTGTCTCCTCCAGCCGAGAGCCCATGAATCTGCACAACAGTGAGCCTGGGAGGAAGGGCAGGAGCAAGGGCTGGGAGCCAGCCTGGCTGCAGGGGCTTCTCCCTGGCTCGGCAGAGCTCAGTCCACCCCGCACACCCCAAAAGGCACTTCAGGGCAGCCAGGTGCTCCCAGAGGATTCTGCATCCTGCTGCCTTTCCTAGCCCAGCACTGCATCGATTACCCTGAGCCGGCTCTTGCCTGTGTGGAGGGGAGTTCCAGCCTCCCCTACTCACTTCTGTGCAGTCTCCTTTTCCAGCTATGATTCAAGAAATAATTTACTCTGTTCTGTTCTGAAGGGCTTCCATGCCCCTCCAGCCTCTCTTCAATAAAGCCAGACATCTGCAGGGGCTGCAGTTGGATCTGGTCCCTTGAACATCCTCCGCCTCTGGCCAGGTCTGTTCCTCTCCCCTCAGCCCCGCAGGTCAGAACAGCTCCTCATCCCTCTCTCTGCCTCAGGGGTTTATCTCACAGACCCAAACCATCTTGTTTTCCACAGAGTGGATCTCCTTCTCTTCATATTGGCCTGACTTAAAAAGACCCTTTTGCCCCTTCCCCTTCTCCTCTGCTGTCCCCGATCTCCAGCCCCATGGGCGGAATTTTGGGAGAGCAGCAGCACATGGGAGGTGCTGGGAAGGGTGTCCCTGGTCAGGCTGGCAGCTGCCTTCTGCTCTGCAGGCTCTCCTGGCCCACATGGAGGAGGAGTGCAAGTGCCACGGTGTGTGGGGCTCCTGCGAGGCGCACACCTGGAAGGTCATGCCTCCCTTCTGCCACATGGGCACCGTCCTCAAGGAGAAGTCTGAGGGGACTGCAGAGGTTTACCCGAAGCAGGTCGGTTCCTGCCAGCTCCTGCTGCCCAGGAGCTCTCGCTCCAAGCACTACACAGCTCATGGCCTGGTCTACCTGCGGGCCAGCCCGGACTTCTGTGACCGGGACCCTCGGCACGGCATCTTCCGAACCTCAGGCTGCCAGTGCAAGCAGACACTGCTGCCATGGAGCTGCTGTGCCGGGCAGGGCATTCAGCATGGCCTGGGCCGAGCCGGCAGAGCGCTGCAGCTGCAAGTTCCGCTGCACGGGTGCCGCTGAGGGACGGCAGAGCCGCAGGGCAGGTGCCCAGGGGTGCCATCAGCTCCTGTGCGCTCCCCACACAGCACCCTCCCACCAGCCACATGCAAGAAATGCCTTTTCCAGTGCTCAGCTGCTCCTTTGGCTGGAGAAATGTTTCCAAGAGGAGTTCCAGCAGCTGCCACAGTGAGGCTCCCCTCATTCAGTCTGATCTCAATGCCAGGGAATGTTATGGAACAAGTTATCCTAAGTAAAATCAATCACACAGCACTACCAGAGGAACGGCCCTAGCCAGGATGGGTTCACAAAAGGCAGGTCCTGCTTGACCAGCCTGGTCTCTTTTATGACCAGGTGACCCTAATAGTAGGTGAGGGAAAGGCTGTGCTTGTGCCTTTGGCACCGTTTCCCACAGCATTCTCCTGGAGAAGCTGGCAGCCCACGGCCTGAGCAGGTGCATTCCTTGCTGGGTTAAGAACTGGCTGTGAGGCCGGGCCCAGAGAGTGGTGGTGGACAGAGCCACACCCAGCTGGTCACCAGTGGGGCTCCCCAGGGCTCTTACTGGGACCAGTCCTGTGTAAAACCTTTACCCATGATCCGGATGAGGGAATCGAGGGTAAGTTCCCGGATGACATCAGGGTGGGAGTGTTGGTGTGCTGGAGGGCAGGAGGGCTCTGCAGAGGGATCTGGACAGGCTGGATTGATGGGCTCAGGCCACTTGTGTGAGGTTCAATAAAACCAAGTGCCAGGTCCTGCTCTTGAGTCACAACAACCCCAGGCAGCGCCACAGGCTGGGGGCAGAGTGGCTGGGGAGCTGCACAGAGGAAAAGGACCTGGGGGTGCTGGTGACAGCAGCTGAACATGAGCCAGCTGTGCTCAGGTGGCTGAGAAGGCCAATGGCACCTGCCTGGATCAGTGATAGTGCAGCCAGGAGGACCAGGGCAGGGATTGTCCTCTTGTGTTATGCATAGGTGAGGCCACACCTCAAGTGTTGGGTCCAGTTCTTGCTCTTCGCTGCAAGAAAGACACTGAGGTGCTGGAGTGTGTCCAGAGAAGGACAACAAAGCCTGTGAAGGGTCTGGAGTGGCAAAAGGAGCTGGGGTTGTTTAGCCTGGAGAAAAGGAGGCTCAGGGGAGCCCTGATCACTCTCTACAACTCCCTGAAAGGAGGCTGCAGTCAGGTGGGGGTTGGTTTCTTCTCCCAGGCAACCAGTGACAGGACAAGAGGAAATGGCTCCAATCCATGCCAGGGGAGGTTCAGGTGGATATTAGGAAAATATTTTCTTCACTGAAAGGGTGGTCAGCCGTTGGAACAGGCTCCCCAGGGAAGTGGTGGAATCATCACCCCTGGAAGTGTTCAAAAAAGAAGTGGTTGGCGCTTTGTGATATGGTTTAGAGGCCATGGTGGTATTTGGTCAAAGGCTTTGACTATCTTGAAGGTCTTTACAAACTTTAATCATTTTTTGATTGCTTCCTGGCGAGGTCCTGGAACCTCTCTTGCCACAGCTGCACCTCCTTGTCTCCCTCCCTCACACTCAGCACCCGGTAGCTCTTGTTCTGCTGGCATTCCACACGAAACACCTGCAAGGAGAGCCTGGGTTCCTCGGGGTGGTACCACTGCCCATCCTTCCCCAAGGAAAGAGACCTCCATGGTGGATGGCACCTGGAGGCTAGGATGACAGGGGCACCAGGGGGAAAAGGGGAGGAGCAGCTGAATTGACAGCTGAACTGTGTGTTTGCTAGGCTACAGGCCAGTCCTCTGTCCTGCTCTGGTGATTTGGGGTTTTGTTGCTGCTTAGTGGATGGGGGAGATCCTGCCCTTCAGGGATATACAGGGATATCATCCCTCAATGGTCTGTGCAAATCCCACCCAGCAATGATGCCCCAGTTGTGCCGGGGCCACTGTTTGTCTCCCCACCTCCCCCAAACACACCCAATTCTGTCCTCCTAGAAGGAAAAGCAGTGGGCCAGTGAATCCAGCAGGGGCATGGGGCTGGCTGTGGAGGGGCCAGCCATGGAAGAGCAGGCTGTGCAAATGCAGCGTAGCTGCTTCTCACCTTCTCGTTGTAGATGCTCTTCAGGAGGCACTGGTAGCTCTTGAACATGCAGTAGTGGGGATGCTGAACTCCGCTCGAGTCACAGATCTGGTGACAGGGGAATGAAGGTCAGAGAAAGAAGAGGAGAAGGAGGGATGGGAACATCCACTGATGGTCTCCCACCTTTCCTGAGCCCTCCATGTCTGGGAAGGTGCCATACTCTGCCTTCAGCCAGAGGCTCACAGCAGGGTCCTGACAGCCGTAGATGGCCATCCGGCTGCACCAGTACTCCATCCTCACCCCTTTCAAAAAGTCCATGTTGTAGTCCACCGGGGTCTGTGAGGACCTGGACTGCAAAGGGGTGGGATAAAGTGAGCCATGCTTCTTCCTCCCCTTCCCCAGCTCCCAGTCCAGGCTCCTCCTGAGAGAGCAGCAGGACACAGAGCTCGCTTGGTACCTTGCCCTCTGCATGCCTGTGCTGGGCTGAGATCTGGGGGTTGATGTAGGTGGAGAAGCTGCCCGAGTCACAGGGAATGCGGTTCAGGGTCTTGATGTTGTGGCACTGCTCCCTCTTCAGCGAGCAGAAAGCGCAGTCGGGACACAGGTCCATGTGGTGCCGCCCAAGGCTGTCACACACCTGGGGTGGATCCAGCAGGGAGTCAGGGGGGAAAAGGAGACTGAGAACCTCCCCAAAGAGGAGGTTGATGAGTTTGCATATTCCTGGCTTGGAGCCTGCCTTCCTGGTCACCGAGGTCAGCTTCTCTCAGGAGATGGCCTGCACACAGTGGGGGCCAGAGGTGGACACTGGTGTCCTTACCGAGTCTCCAAACCCAAAGACTCTTTTTTCCATCTCCTTCCAGGCCATGGTGAGCATTGATGAGAGGCAATTTCCCTCCAGCACTGCATAGCACAGGACCAGCACTGCCTCATCGTTCTGCAGGGCTAGAAGGCTGACAGAGAAAGGGAAGGAGGGAGTCATCTCATTCTTTGCCACAAACTGAAGAGATGCATCTTTAGATAGAAACTGAAAACAATCCCAAAACAAAGTAAAAATCCCTTCCCAAAGAAACCTTGGACTCTTGGCTAAACTGCACAGAGGAACGGGGCTCTCTGCAGAGTCTGCACATGCCTGTGTGCCACAGAGGCTACAGGAGGGTTGCTGTGCATTTGGGGGCATGTGAGAGTCTGGATGAGGAATACAGCCCAGGGCCCCTGCAGCAGCTGCTGCCTAATTTCATCCATCTGAGTGCACAGTGAGGAGATGTTTGTTAGATGTCTGCTGAGTGTTGAACGTCAGGCAGCCCCATTTGGGTCTGGTGGATGTCACATATTAAGTCTCCCTCCCAAGTATTTGACAGAAATGGGAAAAAAACTAGTTAACCATGAATTTACTGTTCATCCAGGCTGACATGGGTAGGTAAAAGTAGAAAATGTAAGGACAATGGGATCAGAGCAATGAGAATATCTGGCATCTCTTAGGAACAATGGAATCTGTAAACATGGTACACAACTGTTAGCAGACAGGGATGGTTGGTTTCAATCATCACCAATGATGCAGAAGAGGTAAACATGCTCATTAGATATTTGCCTCTTTTGTCTGGAAACAAAGCCAGTGATAAATAAACTTTGATCGAACAGAGGGTGAAGAAGAGCAGCAACTGCTTTTGTTAAAATGTTCTTAAAATCCATGCGTGGACTAACATGTATGGACACGTTTTCCTGGGAATATCTGAAACTTCTAGGAGACAATCAGATTAGCATTAAAAAAAATTAAGAAGAGGTAGAGAGCATGAAGGAAGGTCATGAAGATGAGATTTCCTAAGAACTGGAAAACTTTCACCTAGAGGTAGAAGCTAAAAAAGCATCACTCAGCTGAGCAAAGACACCAGTGGGTTCCCACTCAGTCAGTCAGCCCAAGGAGGGCTTCAGCTGGAAAGCTCTCCTTGTCAGCAGGTGGAAGAGTAGTGACTTTTGGTGACTGGAATTTGGGGTGAGATCCATTCAAACCAGAAGAAAACTACATCATCCTGACACCAAGGGTGTTTAGCATGGGAAAAGCTGATGGGTGCTTCCTCCACAGCTCGGAGACTTCAAAAAGATATCCCAAACTTCTGTTAGGAGAGGAGTCTGTGGCTCAGCCACACAGCACTGTAGTTTTCTTTGGGGCTCACCAGACATGTTATCATGTCCTGTGCTGAGCAGGAAGGCCAGGGTGCAGGATCAGGGCAGTTCCTATGTTAAAAGTGATGAGCTTCACAGAAAACTGAGTTGTGCCACACTGCCCAAGTTTACCAAGAAATTCTGCTGTGCTCTCTGTCACATCCTTTCCTCCTCTATCTCTGCTCTCCATCTCTGCTGTGAGGTTTTCTGGCCTCACAGTTGCAAATTTATGAGCTGATTTACCATCTCTGGATGAGTATAACAGCACTGCTGCTGGTTCTCTCCACTTGTTGACACGCTGCTGAGCTGTTTGTGGATGCACAGAGGTTTCACCATGCTTCAGGGAAAGAGATGGGTCTATCTAAAGTGATTTCCTAATGCAAATCCCTCCCCAGCTTAGTACCTCTGCATGTTATTGTCCTAACCACTGCCCTGAAAAAAGCCTAACAGGTCCTGTGAGGCAAAGATCCAAAGGGAATGTGGAAAAAAACCAAACCAAGATTAAGAAGAATCTGTGGGCCGAGATCAGTAATTGATCTAAGGCAAAGGAGAAAACTTCAGGTATCAGCTTATCATACTTCAGCATCTCAGGATGTGGAAGGACACACAGAGCCTGCTTCAGTGGTATCTCTGAAGAGTGCTGGTGAGCAGCATTTGCCTCTCCTGCCACGTAATGACAAGGATTTGGGCCATTAGCTTTCGGCTGCTGAGCCTTCCTGATACTGCCTGGCTGAGGTGCAGTGAGCACCTGAGGCGAGCAGAAAAGAAGATAAGGAGCGAACAGCAGCTTTCCAGCACCTGGTAAATTCTGATTTAGGGGGGTTGCTGC